ATGTATGTATGTATGTCATTAGATTGGAGAATTAACCTCGAATGCATGGATCGTCATTTGACAGTAACGGCTATGTCACATGCTGTGGTACCTTTTCCATTGTCACTATCCATGCTTATTCTAAAGCGAGCTGAATGCTACAAAGCAGCTGTTGATGAATAAAACGGATGCGGAAATAGACAGTTGTAAATTTGTACTACAAAGGAAACGTGTATTGTTTGACGTTTCCTTCCCTCTTTCTGAGCTGTATTGTTTAATTTGATTAATGATTGCTTATGGAGAGGGGGTTATTTGTATGGAATAAAACTGATTTTCCCATTTTGCTTTTAGAGTCTGAATCCTTTGACGCCAACTGATTGTCTCTCGTTGTAAAGCCAGGATTCAGCTCAATAAACTGACTGAAATTCATAAGTATTACCAACGCCGATTGAACGCACTTGAAATTTGGAGGTGGGGCGTAGATTTCACTTTCATTCCCTACAAACGCAATGAGTACTGAAGGAAAAACTGACCATGAGAGGTATTTCATGATACATCAAGCACTTCTTTTTAACGGTAGAAATGCATAATCTTACAGTTCGACATAAAAGGCCGTATCGGAGAGTCACTGGAGAGAGTTTGAGAGGTTTCAGGAGCGCTGCTAAAGAATCATTTTAGATACATATGATAGAATATTGGAGATGAAAAATACCTTCAGTGACGCCTCCTTGCACCAAACAAACCGAAAGCGCGAGAAGAACTTCTTTACTTATGAGGACGATCATAGCTTAATGATTAATAGATGGTACCTCAACTCCACTGAGATCAGATTGAATTGAAAACTGCCAAACAAGTGCGGTGTGTGATGAGATCGTTTCAGCATGGTTTCAATAACAAATAAACAGTGAATTATCCCCAGCTCGTGTGCTGTGTTGCCTTGTACAATATTATTCTTATCTAAAATATAAATGGACCATTTTTTAAAATCACAACTTAAATCAAGCGGCCGTAATTCCTACTATGACTCTCATTCTTTTCCCGAGAAAAAAAGGAATTACAACCGCAGTTTTTCTTATTTCTCAGTTATGGATACTTGAATCAATGTAGTTGGTGTAGTGTTTGTATGAAAAACGATGTTTAGCAGATCACCTCTCAACAAGAGATATTGAGTGACAAAAGTTTAGAGTGTTTAAGGCACGTTTAAACCCTTTTGCGCAAGAAATACATCAGAGCAAAATCAACAAAATAACTGAAAGCTCAATAAATGTATCAGCTTCCCTACAATTATTTGCCGCTCATTATAGAGAAACTTTCTTAAAGAAAAAAAAGGTTAAGGTGTTTCATGAACGTTGCTACCTACCCTAACCAAGAAATAGATCAGAACATAAGGCAACTGCAGACATAACTTGTACGTTTGGCATTGGAGCGCAGTTGCATCTTGTCCTAGCTCTTTGACAACTTCTTTTTTTTTTTTTTAATAATCGTTAAAACCTGGCTTAGCCTTTTGTTCCACTAGATTTGGGTGGTCTTTTATTTCTTAGGGTGAGGACCTTACAGCGTCAACGAGACTCCTTTTTTTAATTGTTCGACAAGTACAAGAACCTACTTAAAGAAAAAAAAAAAGATCAGGCGCTACTTGAATAAACATTCCTTTCGCTTAACGTTGAAAAAATGCTCTGATGATTTAGGCCGAGCCAAGAAATGTGATTTTAAATTGGGTTTGCAAGGGTGATATGTGGTTTACTACACTGCGCTCATCGTGTAAATATGATTAAATGTCAACACTATACTGAATCGTCGCCCCCACGCCGAAGGCGATTAAAAGTGTTTTCAGCGTTGAAGCAGCTGATCCCAGACGTTTATTTCAAATTAATTTTTTTTTACCAAGACAAAAAGATTATCATCATTATCATTCAGTGTCTCTTTGAACTCCATCATTATTGAGATCGAGTTCCCTGAATAAATATAAAGCAAAATTAAAAGACCGCCATCTTGAAATTCGTTTCTGTTCTCGTCAAATCATTGAATAAATGGGTCATTAAAACTTCTTTCTTGTAGGGCTGTTGACCGACAGAAAGGAAAGTTTGGTTAGGAAAAAACACTAATAACCTCTTTCATTTTGTCTGCTTTAAGTGCATATCTGCCAGGCGGAGAACCCGATTGTTGGGCGATGATAACGTGCGAAGTTCCCGCCAAAATAGCTTGACTCTTCCGTAGAAACTACAAAAAGTACCATTTTTATTTATTCAAATTTTTGAACTTATAGATAAAAAAGTTCCATTCCTCTCTCATCAAATTTCACAAACCGCGCGTACTCATCTGTGCTCATATTACCATTTGCAATGAAAAAAAAAAAATTCATAAGTCTGGCTAGTTTAAATACCTTATGACGCGCAATGAGCTGTGGCGACGACGATTCGTAGAGTTCCCACCAAATAGCTTGACTCTTCGGTAGAATCTGCAACTAGTTCTTTTTCATCCATTCTTTTCGATCATTACTATTTTGTTCTTAAAATAATTTTTGAACTTACAAAAATAAAACTTTCTATTCCGTTACTTATTATTTTCTGAAAACCATATTTATTCATCAACAATAACAACTTGCGCTTAGAGAAAAGGAATAATTGATGATTCGGGTTAGCGTAAATGCCTTATGACGCACATTATGATAATAACAGCAGTTTCTGAATCACAAAAAGTCTTTCAATGTCTTCCTATTAGAATGTATATCACGTTTCTCGGTAAAAAACCAAATAACTATGCTAGCTGATTTTTATAAATTGCTTTATTGACTCTGAAAATTATGGTTCAGTTCCCACTCAAAATGCTAATGAAAAAAATGTAAACATTTACTAAATTGGTTTAATGTTCGGTGCTGTCTGGTGAAAGCAATCAATTTGACGTGAGTGAACTCGATAAGATCAACAAATTTAGTTAATAAGATGAAGGCATAAAATCCATATTCTTCTCTTTATTATGCGCCCAAAGAGTTATTTTGTTTACCGGTGTAAGAACTTCTCATTTGTTTTCTCCATCCACCCTTCCTTCCCTTATTTGGTAATCTTTCAAAGTGATGTTTAATCAAGTGTTGTCATAGGAGGGAAAATGTATTTTGAATTTAAAAAATAACGATATTCACATTTTTATGACATAATATTCATACAGCCATACAATTATTTCCAGATGATGTTAGTTTCGACTCCTATCCGCAGACTTATTTCGAAAAACAGTTCTGCAGTTCTGCAGAAAAACTGACATCTGCTGTAAAGAACATCTGTTTCCTTCAAATTTATTCTTAAGTTAGAAACTTGCATATAATCATATTTTGTTTTTCCTGTCTGCTATGAAAAGCGGAAGAGTTGAGGTGGGTTGAATAATCTTTTTCCTTTCATGACTTTTATTATTATATTTTTATTATCCGTGATGTCATTCATATGTTGTCAAATGCTTCATTCGCGCACGAGCTCACCAAAATTGTCTCTTAGTGCCGAAACTCTGAAATTTGAGTGATCAGTGCGAAACTAAACATTTCTTCAAATGAAGAACATCTTGAGGTTTTGCAAGACCCAAGTAAATTATCCCGTGGGAAATTTCATTGCTAACACTTATCAAAATTATAATAAAAGAAAAACAACAGCAGTACAATAAATAAGAATACAACAAGGTCAGAGATTGAGTTTTTACTCTTGCTTTAATATTTTTACCTTCAGTCCTTGCTGTTTTCAAGAGGCTTTAATCAGACATTAACATTTTAGTATGGTTTCATGTGCATTGGTTGCCTGGTAACAACTCAGGATATGACATTTTGCTTTTAGTCTTTTTAGCTCTTGCACTGGTAAGTAAGTACAAGAAAAAATAATTTTCTCTTGGTAAGTAGATATGGCTTCGACTATCACAGCATCTCATGGCCACATTAAGGAGGCTGGATATAGTTTTTCACTTTTCTGATGCAAGATATTTAAACTAAAATTACGAAGCTTAGCTGTAACGAATCGCGTTCAAATTTTCCCCTGAAATAAAGATATTATTGAAGAATCAGTTTGTTGTATATATATTGAAAAAATCGTTGCTATGGCAACGTTGCTGGCTTGCAATGCTGAGTCCAAAATTAGACGACTTGAGTTTTCTTAAAAACTGGACGGTGAATTCATTTTAGATTTTGCATGCGTCCTTTGACTGTCTTGGTCTGCTTGACTGTTAAGTTTAAAAAAATTATGTCAGAAAGTTTAAGGAAAAGAGGCCTTTTTTAGAATTCATCGTTAACTTTTTTTCCCTCTGACAGAATTTTTTCGAATTTTTGTAAAACACGCACAGAGCCGTTCAAAGTTAACGTGCAAAAAATAAAAAAAAGTCACCGAGCGGAAACGGAAATACTTAAGTCTAAAGTTTCAAATTTCCAAAAATTTCGACTCGACAAGATGGGCAATTGCGCATGCGCAACATTTGTGTCACGCCACGACACTTGCCACGGACGCCACAAGGTTTTGGACGTCTCCTTCGCCGAACGTCCTTCGCGCTCTTCTAAAGAGCTTTATTTTGCTAAGAGAGGTTCACCTTCTGGGTGGATTGCGCCTGGAAATGGCTGCTGCTCTATTTGCCTTCAAAGTGCTGGATTATTTTGTGCAAAGTGTCGGGATGTTTTGTTCCTCTTGGAGCTGATCGACGCGATGTGGTTGGCGATTTGCTAAGAATGGAGACCAGTGCTTCCTTCCCACCGTTGTTGTAAAGATCTTTTAAGTCATCGTAACACAGACCGCTTTCTGCAATTTTCTGAATGATGTTTTCTTTGACGAGGAGCCCGTTATCGCCCTGTGAATAGAGCTTGTCTTTGAAAGTTTACATGCGTTCGTGGCGTCCGTCAAGAAAGTCCATGTCTACGAAAGCGAAGGAGGCGGATTTCACATGCTGTTGTTTACAATGTCAGCGCTTGTTAGCTGCAACGGGGATTGAAAGAGGACACAGTGGAGGGCACGTACATCTTCCAAAGGTAGCACA